CTTTCCCCCCCTACATGCTGCAACCATCTTTAACCTGCTGAACTTAACGGTTATGGATTTTTTTTCTTTTTTCCTCCTATTCAGTTCACATTTCAGGCCGTTCAGCAGATGCCTGTGAGTCTGGAGATTCAAATCGCTGGTGAAAGTTTGTTCTCTGTTTCCTCAGTTTGTCAGGAGCTTTTCTCCATAAGATGATTTCCTGCTGCTTGAAGTACCTTCTGTCTTCCTCATCAACAAGCACTAGATTCAAAAAGTACCTTACTGAAAATTTTTTGTTCACATCTCTCATCGTTGGTGTTGGGTCATATCCTGCTAAAAATACTCTTATTGGAATGGATTCACCTTTTACTGGTGCACCATCCATTATTTCATATTTGGCAATAGTTTCTGTTTCCATCGTAGTACTGGGACAAATTCCTGTGATCTCTTTTGTGATCAGTTGTAACTCCATGTGTTGTATTTTTATTCTTACTAATAAGAAGTAAAGTTTTCCAACAATCACGTCCTTTAAATGATACTTTGATTTATTATATTCAAACTCTATATGTAGACAATCTTCAATGTCCACTTCCATTTTAATAGAGTTGTTAACAACAGGATAGGTGGCAAGTTGGTGAACAGTAAGATCATACTCTTTCACCATGTCTGTCAGTCTTCTCACTGTTGTCACCTTAAGAAAATACCTCAAGCAGACATTGGCACCGATGTAAGATTCACATGGCTCTTCAACTTGCATAAATTCAAAATCAGAACTTCTGCTCTGAGTCAGCTCTCCAGGTAAAGCTAGTTCTTTCACTAGGTTTACAAATTCATGAGTATGACTCTTGTCATTGAAAGGTTCAATTTGACCTAGGAATTCGCTTCTAATTCCTTGGTGCTCTAGCCTCCTTCAGGTTGCTTACAGGCTAGGTTTACCTTTCCTGAAACAGACGCTCCATCATAGAGGAGACAGTGTTTTCCACTCTGCCATCTTCATTCTTCATCTCCTCCATTTTCCTTGTGTCCCCATCATTAAGGACAACATCAGTCTCACAAATGGGACCAAAAGAGCCTCCGAGAAAGCTCATTGTCAGCGCCGCCGTTGCCCCGTCACGTGACCCGGGGCTTGAGACCGATAAAAAAATATATTTAAAACCCAACTGAGTTTCAGTAATTTTTTTTTTTCTTTTTGGTACTGGGGATCGAACTCAGGTCCTTGCGTTGCGAGGCAGGCCCCGGAACCACTGAGCTAAATCCCCCACCCTAGTTTTCCTTGAAGAAATGCTCTTTAGGCTGCTGTGAGCCCTTGGTTAATTCCTGGATCTCTGGAGGTCGGTCTGGCCGACTGTCACTGTCCTTCCCCGCTGCTGTGCAGCAGCCGCTCGGTGCCGCTTACCTGGTGCGGAGTCACTGGCCAACGCCCTCCCTGGGCTCCGCTCCTCCCTTCCTCTCTGCGGCTCCTGCGGACCAGAAGTCTGCCTGGAGGTCCGATTAGGTTCTGTTTAAACGTTTCTGGAGAAACCTTCACGTCGTGCGGCGTCCTTATGTAGCATCGTGGAGGGGGGCGCCCAAGGCCAGGGCGTCCTGCTGTTAGCGAGGCCCAGTTTTCCACTTGGTTACAGTGCTGGCAACTAGATCTTTCCATGGTAGAGGTGCGCCTTTCTCTGGGTTTATAATATGATTTATGGGGTGACACATTAACATTATCTTAATTTCTTATTCCTCCACAGTCCTTCAGCTGATGGTTTTAGAGCCATTGAGAATCCTTGCCTGGCTGGGCATAGTGGTGAATGCCTGTAATCCCAGCACTCAGGAGGCTGGGACAGGAGGATCGCTGAGAGTTGGAGGCCAGCCTGGGCTCCGTAGTGAGCTCAAGGCCAGCCTGAACTACAAATTGAGGCCTTGTCTCAAAAAAGAACAAAACAAAACAGAACAAAACATCCTTGCCTGAATCAATCATGGGAGGTTGCTAAGGCGTGGTTTTCCAGTTCTGTTATTTCTTCCACTTTTATCAGCCAATATTGTGCTGTAAAGATCACTTGATCTCCTTCCACTTTGAGAATCACAGTGGACTCATGCCTGTAAAGATCATCATTCAGCCGGGGATTTAGCTCAGTGGTTCTGCCGCCTGCCTCACAAGCGCAAGTTTCCAAGTTTGATCCCTGGTACCAAAAAAAAAAAAAAAATCATCACTCAGTGTGTTACAGTGAACTTCAGTCACTTCTGTAGAGTTGCCCCAGGCCCAGCCGCAGTCCTGCTCCTCACAGCTGGCCTCGGCCACCAGTTTGTCAGGGACAGAGAGGGGGCAGGGCACTCAGCTCCCTCTCCCTGCACCTCCCTGAGCAGCGGTCACAGGATTCGCAGGTCACCAGCGGAGTTTACAGGTGGCTCATTGCTTTTTGTCTTACACAGACGTCGGCACCCCCCCACACACACACGCACACACGCACATTCTGTTTTCTGAGCCATGTGAGGTTAGGTCGCAGACATCATATCGCTGCACCTCTACATGCTGTTCAAACAACAATAACATTTTCTTATTCATGCAACTTCAAAGCAGGGCAAGGTGACACACCTGTATCACAGCACTTGGGAGGCTGAGGCAGGAGGGTTGCCACACATTCAAGGCCAGCCTGGGATACATAGTGAGACCCTGGCTCACCATCCCCTCCTTCCCCCCAAATGGCTGTGGATGTAAATCAGGGTGAAAGCCCTGGGCTCAATCTTCAGCTCCATTAAAAAATAAAAGGAAGACATGAAACCTTGGTATAGTTCTGAAGCTCAGGGAATTTCACATTACTCCTGTCCTTTTTTCTCACTGGCAATCTAGATCGCAATTCCATCAGTCGCCATGTCAATGTCCTTGACAGCTATTTCTACTTCCGGTCACATGGGGTGCTTCCTCGGCCCTCCTTGAGTCCTCGTGATGCTGACGTGACTTCACCTGGTGCTGCCCAATGCTGTCTCATGGCGCTGGGCTCTGACAATGTGTCTGTGTGGCCTGGAGTGGCTTCCAAGGGTCCCCACGTTCCCACATCCCCCGTGCTGGCAGCTTGGTCCAGCATGATCATCTGCAAGGCACTGGCCCCTTTGAGGGAGGCGGTGGCCCCGGGAGCTAAAGCTGGTGTGGAGGGAAGGAGTTCTCGGGAGAGCAATGGTTATGAAAGGAGCAAGCACGGCCTCTCTCATCCTCTACATTCTCTCCACTGAGCTCCAGCCATGGTGCCATTTGCCATGTGGTGATGTAGCCAGGAGGGTCCTCGCAGAGCCCAGGTGGGGCTGCTGAGCTCAGACGTTCACCCTCCCAGCTGTGAGGTGATAAACGTCCAATTTTTTTTTTTTTTTTGAGTCAGGGTCTCACTATGTAGTCCAGGCTGGACTTGAACTCACTGTGTAGCTCAGGCTGGCCTCAAACTCACAGTGATCCTCCTGCCTCAGCTTCCCAAGGGCTGGGGTTACAGGCGCGCACCACCATCTGATCTTTATGAGGACCCTAGCCTTGGACATTGTGTCACAGCAACAGAAAATGGATGAACACAGTGCTGCCCTAGTGCACCATGGCCGAGGCCCACACTGTGGGTCTGTTCTGTTATCAACGATACGAACATTGTCCATTTGGCAAATGTGGCATCCGTCAGGTTTCTCCACACTGAATTACTGTTTTCCCTTTGATAGTTAGTCAGCACTTCGATGTGAGACATTTTGGGTCTGTGTAAATACTCCATTTCTCACCAAACTTTCTCCTATTCTTGCCTGAAGCACCCCCTACTTTTAAAATGCAGGTGATATGCACCCACCTGTACAGTAGGTGGAGCCGGAGACAAACCCAGGTCCAGTTTCGTAATTCAATCAAATTTCCCTGGAGGCAGAAATAGCTGCAGAGTATGAGAATGTCAGATGACTGGTTCAGTGGATGGGCAGCCCGATTGGGTGAAGTCTCAGGGACACAGGGACACAGCACCAGGGAAAAGCAGAACTCAGGCCGGCTGCAGCATGGAAGTCCCCGTTAGCCTCACCTGTCCCTGCAGCCCAGCAAATCCTGCCTAGCGTGACCCCGTCAGCCTTCATTCTGACTGGAAAACCCTTGGACTGTCTGTTGAGTGACTGAATCTTTATTTTCCGAATATAGCTGGTTTCCAAGGCTGAGATTCCTTCCTTGGCAGAGCTTTCCTGTTGACAAGAATCCTGAAACTTGTAAAGAAGGTGCGGAGCCCTCTGGTGCCCCCTGGGTGTGGCTTCCTCTGGCCCGTTGAATATGGCGCTCGCACCTCCTTTCTAAAGGGGGCATTTTTTTTATGTGGTTGTGAGTGGTGTAGTTTCCAGACACATAACATGGAAATGTGGTGATTCAGAGGTAAGGTATCAAGTTAGGTGGTTTGTGGGTGACAAAGTTCTGCTGGGTTTTTAAGTGCTTGTGGCTCTAAAATGGAGTTATTCTCACAGAGAAGTGACAGAATTATTTCCATTTATTTGTATGGTGGCAAACAGAATTAAATATATGGCTTACACAAAAATTTATATATTGGAAGAGACTCCATAGCTGCCTTACCTTCTTGTTGGTGAGACAAAATATCTGACACCCACAAGTTGAAAGAGGAGAGGTTTTTCTCAGCTCACAGTTTGTAGAAGTTTAAACCCATAGTTGGCTGGCTCCAAAGCAGGATCGCATGGCAGAGGAGCATCAAGAGGAGAAACAGTCTTCCAGCAGGCCTCCTTTTCCCTTTTATTTTATCCAGGCTATAAGCCTATTGGTTGGTGCCACCTACACCCTGGGTTGGTCTTCCCATTACCCACACTCAGAACCACACTAAACCAGCCATTGGACTGATCCAATATCATGCCCTTAATCCAGTACCACATACCCACAATCCCAAAGCCCCACCTATGGGTGCGTGAGGCTTTGGGGGACATCTGGATAAAAGTCATAACAATAGTTATGAATCATAAAGAAAATGGACAAATGAAACAAGTGTTCTTCAAGCTAAAAAAAAAAAAGATGCAGCAAGAGACTAAACCTAGTTTTAATTGAAATAGAATTAACATACAATGGGAGGCAAGTAGCCTGAGCATTAGAGGAGTTCTTGCTTGATGGGTCACCATCGAAAGAAGACATTTCGATCACCCCAGAAAGTTCTCTCGTCCCCTCCACTGCTATGACTCCTGTCCCCATCTTCCCCGGGAGGTGAGCACTGTGTTCACAGGTTGGTTTGGCCTCTTCTTGGTCTGCACACAAAGTTTGTAATCTTTTGGCATCTAGTTTCTGTACCCAACATTGTCTCTGAGTGTCACCCACAGACAATGAGTCACAGACTTTTTATCTCTGTGTGATGGGCCCCAGTGTTATCATAAAGCAAATCCAGACAGTATATCTTTTCGTTAATAAATATTTCAACACAGTCACTCTAAAAGATAAAGGGTATGAAGACCCTATATTATCATACCTGAAAGGAATCCGTACAGTTGGATATGGTGGCCCACACCTATAATCCCAGGTACTGGGGAGGCTGAGGCAGGAGGATCACAATTTTGAGACCAGCCTGGATAATTTAACAAGAACCTGTCCCCAAATAAAGAGTAAAGAGGACTGGGGTTAGTCCCCAGGGTTTGACCCTCAGATCCGCAGCGGCTCACACTCACACAAAGGAGCCAGCAAAGGCTCTGACACACTCTGACCGCCAGTCCAGTGGCGGCGTCGGGGCTGTGGCTCAGGTTGACTCAGAGCACTGGGGGTTTGTGACTCATCTGTGGCAGGGTGAGAAGCAGGAGGGGAGCTCTTGTGAGCCCTCAGGGTGCTGGGGGAGGCACAGAGATTGGGGAGGGAGCCACAGTGCTCAGTGGAGCAACAGAGCAGTGACCCTGTGAATCTCACCCTGCTGTGTGGAGCATGCGGAGCTCAGGAATCAGCTCCCTGGCCGGTGCTGGCAGAGATAAAGCCCAGCCAGCAGGACACAGTGTCCCCGGCCCCACCCGCTGCAGAGAAAGGCACCTTCATCCATAGCCCGCAGTGCTTGCTGGGATTTAATTTTGGCCAGCAGTGATTGGTTGCAGGCCCGGGTTCCAGGGGCACTTCCTGCATGCTGCCTCACGTTCACTTAGAAACAGTCTTTCACATTTTAATTTTCTATTCTAAAATCCGGTGTGGACTGACAGCCTGGCACACAGATCGGCCCGACACGTGTCTGTGCTGGGCTCTGCGCAGGCCTCCTGCTGCCCTCCGCCTGTGTCCTCTTCCTTTCTGCCGACGGTGGCTTGCATTCTGTCTCCTGCCACAAGCCAGGCTGGCTCGGTCGGACTGGCCTCCCCCCAGCCCCAGATGCTGCCTGTCCCTAGCAGGAAGAGAATGCTGGCAATCTTTCTTTCCGTGTCTTGAATGATACATTTTGCTTTGGGTGGAAAAGCCTGTACCACCTTGAAATCTTGTCTGTACTGTGTACTTAATGACAACAGAATGATAATAGAGAAAACTTCGTGGGACCATCTTTGAGCAAAGCCCTCCCCCTTGGCTATTTTCTTTCCATAATAATCCAAGGATATTGCCAAATGTACTGGTGAATCTCTGTCTTGCCAACATTTTCCTCATTGTTGCTTTGGGTTTTTTTGGTACCGGGAATTGAACTCTGGACCTTGTGCTTTGGAGGCAGGCGGCTGAACCACTGAGCTAAATCCCCAGCCCCTACCCATTGTTGCTTTGAATTCTAAAATATCTTCCTTCAACAGAAGTGAAAAATTAAAGATTAGAATTGTTTCAGCTGATGACCAAAATAATTATTCCTCAAGCAAAACAAACAAAAACCAAAAAAGCTGCCAGGCTGGTGAGAGGCCGAGCCTGGTTCTAGCTAGGAGCGCAGGAGCCTTCGCTGTTCCACGGCCTGCAGGCCTCAGGCTCTGCCTTGAGCACTGATGTCCAGCCTGGGCCCCCTCAGCCTGCACAGGCAGGGGCAGCCCCTGTCCAATTCCCGTCCCCACCACAGTTCCACCTTTCACTCACTGACACATTTGGGGTGCAGTGGGTGAGCCCAGCGCTCCGCCCACTGCTGCCTGCTGGGGCTCCTTGCACAGACAGCCTGCGTGCGGGGGGCTCCCCAAGCTGGTGCCGCATGCGGGGCTCACTCTGTGGGGTCCGAGGTCCCCCCCTCCGCCGCCCAGGAGCCCCGATTGTGAACTCACACGCCCGGCTGTCCCCTTCGCTCTGGGTGGCGTGGGGCGGTCTGCAGGGTGGGACTGCTGTGAGAGAAGCCGCTGTGTGCAAGTCCTGCCGAGTGCGGCGCAGGCTCCAGGCCGTCCCAGCCTCAGTCCTCGAGAGTCCTGCGTGTGCCAGGGCTGTGACGTCCTTCTCACCAACAGAATGCGATGGTGCCTCCATTCACCCTCTTCGCCCTTCTGCAGGCTCCAATGAATGCGCTGCCCAGGAGAGGCCACAGCCAGGAACGGGCGCGCCGTGGTCACCGCAGCAAGGAGCCGTGGCCCTCAGCTGAGATCTGCAGGGAGGTGGACCCCTGAAGAGCATGAGAGTTAGGAACAGTTCCTCCCCTAAATGATCCCAAGGAGACCCCAGCCTGAGCCAGCGCCCTGCTGGAAGTCATGGCAGAGATCCTTCTTGGGGCTGCAGGGCCGATCAGGGCCCGTCAGGCTGCGGCATGTGTGCGATGTCGCCCGGCGTGCACGGCTCACATAGGGGACACGGTGTGATTTCCTGGATGACTACAGAGCGTGGAATGACGCCGCAGATGTAAGTGTGCGCTCCACTGTGGTGTGTGCTTTTCACTCCCCCCAGCAGCCGTGGGCTCCCACCTGCTCCACGTTCTTGGTGGATTTTGTGTTCCCAGGCTTTTTGGTTTTCCATTCTGGTTCCCTGTGGTTTTCAGATCACATTTACTTGGTGACTCATGAGGGATAACCTTGCTTTAACCAGTTCTGCAACCTGTTCAAATTTTGGTTTCCTTCCAAGAGAGTTACAACTTATTTATTGGCTTAATTGTTCTCATTGTCTGAGTTAAATAGATGAAAAAACAGGATTCTTGTCTTAAGGGAAATTCCTTTTTTTTTCTTTTGCAGTACTGGGGATTGAATCCAAGGCCTTTGCATTGAGCTGCATCTTCAGCACTTCTGATTTTGAGGTCATGGTACACCAACACATCCTCCTGGCTGCTTCTGCCCAGAGGACTCCGATGGTGAGCCACCCAGGTGAAGTCATCTGCCCTCCAGGGCGGGGCCCAGACCTGAGCCAGCCCTCCTGATCCTGAGCAGAAAGCGCCTCGTCTTGCCCCACAGCAACCCTACATGGTCCTCAAAGTCATATTGTTTTACTTACTTCCTGTTTCCCTCATATTTTGTTCTATTCCTAAGGCTGAAATGTCCCCTTATTCACTTTTCATTAGGATGAGCCAGATCACCTTGTCTGATAACAGTTGGTGTAGTTTGCCCGTTTCTTTATATACAGTGTCAGGTAAAAGGGCCGAAGACCAAGACCAGACCAGGACACAACAAGCCTTTATTAGGGAACAGATCTGCCGGGCTGTCTCTGAACAAAGGAGAGACAAAAGCAATATGGCTGGGACAGGGAGAGTCTTTTATAGAGACTGGGGTGGGACTTGTAGAGGCTGAGGCGGGGTTGAGTGAGGCAGTGACTAGGGAATGGAGGAGCCCGTGATGTCACTAGGTGGTAGGAGGTGAGCGAGTATTAGGTTACTCTCTAGGTGGGAACAGGGGCATGCTGGGAAGAAGGGTTTGTTCTTTGGTGGGAGCAGCCATCTTGGCATGATGTCACACAGGGGAGGGGCAAGGCACCATAGGAAGAGGGCAGCTACTATACATAACAGCTGCTGAGGTAGTGGGAGACCTATCATACAGATGTGTGTGTTCAGTTTCTTCCTTTCCAGTTCAGGAAGCTATGCTGGTAATGAATTTTTATTAAAGTGGTACAAGATTGGAAAATAAAGTAAGCTTCGACACACTTTCCAAAATAATCAACACAAACCCGACATGAGAACCCAATAATTATTACCTCCAGAACCGGCCCCAGATTATTAAGATGCAATTACATCTGAGAAGTAGCCTGGCAGGGGCCGTGTTTATTGTTTTCTCAGTCATTTTCACACACTTTCTCAGGGTTCCAGAGCACTGTCTCCCCACTCCTAAAGCCAAACCGCGCCTGGACTCACCCAGGGCTCAAGGGCACAGGAACTTGCTTCTTCCTCTATGGATCTCAAAGCTACCAGTCAAACAGAGAATTGGACTTGTCAGGTCGTCTGCAGATGTGTTTTATGTGATGGACTCAGGGTTGCATAGTGTGACAAAATCCATCTGTGGATACTGAGCGTGGGGAACCCAGAGCAGCATGGCTGGGCCTGATGAGGGCTGGGCTGGTGACACACTGCCCCTCTGATGCCAGGTCCTCCAGGTCCCTCTGTCCCCAGGGGCGTCACAGGGTTGCTGTTCCAGCATTGCCCTCTGCCTGGTCTTCGAGCCCCCAGTGACCAGGCTGCAGGGCCGAGGGCGCCCCTGAGAGAAGGCTGCTGTGGCAGTGAGGACCGAGAATGCACCCCGCGCTCCCGGCAGCAAAGAGGAGCGCCAGGAATCCGCCTCCAGGCACCCTGCCTCACCTTGAGCCCTCTCAGCAGTCATCCTCGCCCCTCTCCAGCAGCTCTGGAGTCCTGTTCCTGAGTGTCGTCAGCTGCGCTGTCCTGACTGCCTCCATGTCCTGAATGGATTCAAAACGTTTCCTTTTCATGGTCGTTTTGGCTTTGGGGAGGAGCCGAGCGGCACGGTGCCAGATCTGGTGAATTGGTGGATGAGGCCACAGCGCTGTGTTTACCAGCCTGGCTCTGCACTGGACGGCGCTGGGCAGCAGCAGTCAGGGTGTTTGTGACCACCCCATAAAGACACTCGTGGGGCACTACTGTAATACATTTAAAAAATGTAAACACGCACCGCAGCTTCCATCGGCCAGCACGCAGAAGCCGACCTGGAGGACCCTGGCCTGCAGGGCGTCCCTGAGGGCTCATGGGGTCCTCACCCTGGCCTGGGTCTCACTCGGCTCATTCTGGAGTCGCTGTCAGAGTGGAGCTGACCGGGCTGTTTGAGGGCGTCAGGGACAGGAGGCTGGGAGGACCCGGGCTTTCCCGGAAGCCACAGCTCGGGCGGGAGAAGGGGAGAGGAAACGGGATCACACAGCGGGGCGAGACCCAGCAGCAGGCTGGAGGCCTGGGCGCTGGGGCCCATCCAGCGGAGGGCGGGTTTCGGGGGCTCTCTGGGGGAGATGAGGCTGGGGAGGAGCCAGGAGTCGGCGAGGCCCACGGCAGAGACGCCCAGGGCCTGCAGAGCCAGGCGGACACGTGCGGACACGGCCTGGCGGTCAGCGAGTACCCGCGGCCTGGCGGGAGCAGCGGGGTCTGGCAGCCGCGACCTCCAGCCCCACAGCCCTGGTCGGGGTGCAGTGCGAGCAAAGGCCTCGCACCTGCCCTGCGTTCTTCCCACTGCACCTATGGCTGCCACTGCAGCGCCGACCAGGCCTGCAAGTCCCGGGGCCCGGGCCTGGAGGGGCGAGCAGAGCCGCCCGGCCGTCTTCTGGGCCGGGGCAGGCCTGGGTGAAGCTGCGGAGCCGCGCCGCCGAGGTCCGGGTCCCTCCGGGGCGGCGGTCGGGAGACCGCGCCGGGCAGACGGGGACACACGCCCGCCGCTAGGGGGAGCTCGGAGGCAGGCGCGGAAGCGGAGCCCGAGGGTGTCTCCCAGAAAGGCGCGGGCGAGGCCGCCGCACCTGCGGGCCAGCCGGCAGCAGAGGCAGGCCCGGGGCCCGCAGGCCTCTCGCGGGTCTGTGCTGGAACCGCGAGGCCCACAGGCGCCGAGCTCGTCCTCGGGGGAACTGCGGCCCGGTCACCGCCGTGAGGCGCGCGGCGCCCGAGACCAGAGCGCCAGAGCCCACGGCGAGGCGCGGGGCGGCCCGGGCTGGGTCCGCAGACGGCGCCTCCTCTCCGGTCACCCCTGACGCCCCCGGCGCGCCCCGCGGGCCACGGGCAGGGCTGCCGCTCTCACCCGCTGTCCTGGGCTGCGACGTCGCGCGCCTCCTGCCTGGACCTTGGGAAGCGCCGCCCGAGAGGGCGCCTTGCAGACTGCAGAGCCGCGCGCGTCCATTCCGGGCGGGCGCGCTGGGCCTGGGCGCGCTGCTTCTCTGAGGTGGCCGAGCGCCCCACTCTCCCAGTCCCCAGCCCCGGGGCACGGGGGCGCTGAGGTGCCCCGCCCTTGGGCTCCCCCGGGCGTGGCTTTAGAGTGCTGCCTCCGGGCCTCCCCACCCGGCCTCGGACCCAGACATCGCTGCAGCGAGCCGAGGCTGCTCCTGGCTGCTCGGCGGCCACTGCCACCCGGTGTCCGCAGGGGACCTGGTCCCTGTGCAGCAGAGGGGGAGGGAGGGCGGGAGGACACTCGGGACTGTGCCGCCTTCCTGTCTGTCAGACCCGGCCGCACCGGCCCCTCCTCCGCTGGCCCCGTCGGCAGGTGCCGCGGAGCGAAGGCCTCCGCGCGGTTCGGGCTCGGCTCAGCTCGGCCCACGGCAGCAGCACCGCCCTGAGCCCGGCGGCTTCCGGGCGAGCGCTGGGCCGGTGTCCCCAGGGCTCAGAGCAGGACGGGCGTGGGCCGGGGTGCGGACCTCTGGCCGGGAGCGCTGGCGGGGGCCGCGGTGGGCGGGTGAGCTGCAGGCTCCCGGTGAGGACCCCGCCTGCCCGGGCGCGCTGCCGAGCCAGAGCCACCGGGTGCCGGGCGGGGCGCAGACAGCACGCAGGTGGCCAGGGCGATCTGTTTTGGTCCGGCGGCTGTGCAGCGCAGGACACGGGGCGGGGCGGGGCGGCTGCTTCCAGCGTTTTTTGTTGGTTTTGTCACATCGCCTAAACTTCTTGCCTTTGGGAGAAGAATTGAGCCGAAAAACTATTAAAAATAATGAGAGTTCAGTAAGGCAGCCAGTTACAAAATAAATGTACAAAAATCAATACCTTTCCTATTTCCAACAGTAGCCACTTAGAAAAACTAAAGGAAGAGAAAGACCTCCACGGTGCAGACGACGTGACATTTATCACTGTGAAGCGAGCTCCTAGGGCAGATGGCCGCGGCCGCCCTTCCTCCTCCTTAGCCCGGCGTTGCCCGTGCTGGGACTCAGTTGTGCCCAGGTCTCCAGGGCTCCTGGTGGCGTTGGGGACGGCATGGACCACGGGCTGAGCTTCCTTGCTGTGGGGTGGCCTGAAGGGCTGGTCTTGCTCCTGGCCCCTCACGTCTGCTTTCTCTCCGCCGCCCCGACAGGGACAGATTTCCCCTGCCCTCGGTCCTGTCCCAGAGCCGCTGGCCACTCGAGGACCGAGGCTACTGAGCTGTGAGCTGGAGGTGTCGTGTGTCGTGTCCCAGCGAGAAGCAAGGGGACCAAGGGCCGGGAGAAGACTGAGGGCTGCTGCGGGTCCCTGGGCCGGCGCCTCGCTCCTTTCCACGGGTCCGGCTGCCTGTGGGAGGTGCGGAGGCCTCTGTGGGGTCGGGGGTGGGTGCAGCGGGAGCCATGGGGTGGCGCTGGTCTGCAGGACTACGGGAACCGCTTCTGCCTCGGGACGTCTGGGGACCAGACTGGGCAAGGATGTTTGGAGGCCCCGGTGTGACCTGTGTGTCAGGTAGGGGCTGGGGTAGAGGGGCACAGAAATCTGGGCTGCTTTATCCCAGGAACATTTCAGGGCTCCCTCAGCCCGGCCTGATGGGTGAGGAGGAGGCAGGGTCCCCTGTGGGGGCGGACGTTTCCTCTGGTGAAGGGCGGAGAGCCGCGTGTGAGCGCCCGCTATGCAGAACAGCAGGACACCAGAGAGGAGCACCCACCGCCTCCCTGACGCTGCACACCAGCGCCCAGGCCTGTCCACTGTCATGGTGGCCAACAGCGGCCGGGGACAGCCGGGTGCCAAGGGCCGGAAGGGTCAGCACCCCGCTCCCTTGTCCCCTAGGGGCATCACCCACCGTCTGCCTTCCCGTCGAGGCATCTTTGGGTTCACTTCCTGGTGAAGGGCCACCCCGGAAGCCTTCTGTCTGGGTCTCTCAGGGTAACCTCAATGATGGGGAGACAGAGAGGGGGTCAGATGGGTAGGTGCAGATGACGCTGGTAGAGATGCAGTATAGACAGAGAGCTAGGTGTGTAGAGGACACAGAGAGACAGGGAGGGAGGGAGGCCGTCTGGCCCACCGCCTGGCTCCCCTCCTCCGCAGGCTGGCGCTTTCCCTGTGAGTCTGGTCTGTGTTCTTCCACTGCAACTGCCTGGCCAGAAAGATGGGACCTTGATTTTGTCAGAAGCCCCAGGGAGACCTGAGCTGAGCTGGCCACAGCCTGACCAGCGACCTCTGTGCTGCCCTGGGAGCCCTGTGAGGGGGGGCATGTGGCGTCTGCGTCCCGTGAGCCGTGTGCCCAGTGCCTGTGGCGTCTGAGTCCTGGCCCGTGGCTCCTGAAGGTCGGGCTCTATGTGGCCCCTCCTCCCACCCACCCTGGCTGCACATTGCCAGAGCTCAGCTGTGCCAGGCTCTCGGCACCGTATGGCTGTGTCTGCCTTTGGCAGGAGCCCAGCAGGCTCACCTCAGAGTCCCGCACCTGGTGGAGCTGGGAGACGGAGACGGCGCCATGTCAGGTGCCCAGGAAGAAAGCAGGACCCGCCCAGCCTTGAAGTGCTCAGCGCAGCTGCTGTCTGAGGGCAGCGAGCATCCTGCGGTCTAAGAGCTGCGATGAGAGAAACGTTCCGACCAGGGCAGATAAAACGAGTATCCCTGGTTTGCCCAGACCCGGCTGGGGCGGCCTGGAGGAGCAGGACATGGCGGCTCCAGGACCCTGCAGGCTCTGCCCAGGTGAGCCTGGGCTCCCTGGCCAAGCAGCCCCGCACGGTGCCGCGGGTCAGGGACCAGAGTGGTACCTGCTGGAAAGACGCTCAGGCGTGGTCTCTCTTCTGTGAGCATTGCTGCTTTTCTGTGACAGCGAATGAATAATTCCTCACGGTGGCATAAATGTTCCTAAGAGCTCAGTATATTTAGGGCTTGATCGAATGAACAGTTTTCAGTTGTCTGACATTTACTTAGTTCCCTATTTTTGGATAGTTGAGTACTTCACATTTAGCATGTGCATATTAAACAATGAGCGAGCATCCTTATGATTAAATTTTTATAAATTTAAAAAGTAATTTCCCTAGGAGATACATAGAGAAGAATCGCTGATTACATCCTGTGTTTTAAGACTTTGCTTTGGATACACATAGTCAAATACAGATCCATATATAATACAGAAAAATGTAATTTAATTTGAAAGTTAACAGGGTTTGCCTTGTCACGGTCTTGGCACCATCAGCTGGTTGTATCTTAACATACATTAGCTCTCCGAACTGAATTAATGTCTATGGGTTATTGTTTATGATAAACTGGCCCCACTGGATATGAAAAACATTTTTTTGGCACTGGGGATGGAACCCAGGGCCTTTGCACTGAGCTCCATCCCCAGCCCTTTTAATTCTCTCTCCCTCTCCCTGTCCCTCTCCTTCCTGAGACAGGGTCTCTCGCTAAGTTGGCCAGCCTTGGCCTCCCAGCGTGCTGGGCTTCCAGGTGTGCACCAACAGGCCCGTCTCACGGGGGAAGATTTGAAGCCCGTGCTCGCTTTTGACTCCCACCATCCTGTCCCCAGGCTTGGGTGGACAGGACAGTGCCTTCCTGGGGTTGCGGCCTGCGCCTCACGGGGCGCCTGTCCTGCGCGTCAACCTCTCTGAGCTGGCGACAGGGTGGGGACCGGCGCGCACGCGGCCTCTGCGCGCCCGGTCTCCCGGAGGGGCTCACAGCGGGACGCAGATACGCTGGCGGGTCCGTGTGTCTGTCCCCCAAGTCCCGGGCCCGGAGCGGGTGGAGGCCCGGGTCGCCCAGCGCCAGCGGCGAGGACCACGGAGCGAGGCGCCCATGCACTGTCCTCGCGAGACTTTGATCTCAGCGTCAGCTTCCGCGTTTCCATGGCTTTCTGTACGCGAACACGTGAGTTGTCGAGGGGGCGGGGCGAGGGATGGGGGGGACCAGGGGCGGGGCGAGAGGAGGGCGGGGCCTCTGCTCCTCACGCTGGCCAGGGCCTGGCCCTGGGCGCCCACCAGAGGCACAGGCATTGGCAGGCCTGGCCTGACCACCTGCGGGCCCTGCGCTGGGCGCCTCGGGCAGGCGTTCGCAGGGGCGCACGGGCGAAGGGCGGCCTGCACGGGGCTTCCAGGGCTGCTCAGAAGGGGCCGGGCGGGGAAGCCTGGGAGGGGCAGCGGAAGTGTCTTGGACAGTAAGGAGCTTCTGACAGCGCACACATTCACCCTAAGTTTTGACCACACCTCGCATCTGTAAAATAGAAGGACCCCTGTAAAACACACCCCACTGCCGTTATTATTCCTAGATTTCTTAACATTATTGGATATCCAGAGCTCACACTTTCAGTTGTCTTACTAAAATAGTAATGAATTCATATATTTAGTGTATGTACTGCCAAAGCCAGCACTGAATTCATGTATTTGAATATATTTAATATATTTTAATTCATCATAATGGTTACTGTTTTTATTATTTATTACCAATATAGTTAATATCACTGATGTTCAAATTGTCCTTTGGTTAGTAGGAGCTTCTCCAAGTTGGCTTAAATCCAGTCGGCTTTGATAATTTTCTTTTCTTTTTTGAGATTGGGTCTCACTATGCAGTTCAGACTGGCCCTGCAGTCACTGTGTAGCCCGGGCTGAACTGGAGCTCGCAGGGATCCTCCTGCCTCAGTTTCCCAAGTGCCGTGCAGCGCCGCTCTGGGCTCATGGTGATTTTCTTGCTTTCTGGTACAAGTAGATGCTCGGGCTCCTCGTTTCCTAGACCAGACCCGGAGTCAGCGCTCAGTCCAGAGACACGGTGCAGACTGGCGGACCCAGCGCCCGGCGAGTGGTGCTCCCGCTGTTTCCAGGCCTCTCATGTGGGCAGAACCAGGCAGTGGAAACAGTCTCCACACCTACTTATCATCTCTCTATCATCTACCTCTCTGGCTGGCTGTCTACCCACCCACCATCACCACCTATCATTGGTCTGTCATCTGTCTATCCATCCATCTGTCTGTCCATCATCTGTAGCTCCATCTCTCCATCCACCCATCATCTGCCATCCATATGTCTCTGTCTCCATCCACCATCTATTGATCTGTCTACCCATCACTCATCTGTCACGCACCTATCCACCTACCCATCTGCATCTGTTTCCTTCTCTTGTTGGAGGTGGGTGAACCTGGGGGACCCAAGGACCTGGCCTTGCTGCGCACACCTCTGCCCTGAGCGGGCCCTGGTCTCTCCCCTGGTGAGATAAGTTGCAGCATGGATGAGAACCTCCCTTCCTTTCTTGTCTCAGGATCACCTAGTTTTTACCTAAGGTTTTCAGCCTTCGTCTCATTTCCTTCTTCCCACAGCCAGCATCTTTGGTCCCAGCGCAGCCTGGACGGTAGAACCAGGATGTGCATAATCACTCCGTGGTTTTCTCTTGAGTCATCAGGCCGGCAGTCTGAGAACAGCAAAGCCACTCAGGACCACCAGCAGCATCACTGGAAACAAGTAATTTGGTGGGATCTTTCTGTGTTTAGGGTCTTTTCTACTAGGATACGCAGTCACATTTCTGTCACTTCTTTCTGTGTTGTGATGCCACAAAATGGTTTATCTCATTTTATACTTTCACATTTGGGAATTGATGTTTTAAGATTTAATTCTGTTTTAAAATTATGTAAAGCAACCACATACTACCCAACTCATATTTAGAAAGCAAAGCATATTCAAATAAGTTTAGCTTCCACTCGTCTTATTTCTAAGCCTTCCTTTCTCCTACAGGAAACCCTTTACCATCTTTATGGCTCCTTCTTCCATAAAAAACAGAATTAAATCTGCATTTCCATCTGTGTATCTCCCCGTTTTCTATGGAAGCGGCGCACGTCTTGTCTCCCCTGTGTCATTTGGCAGTGTGCTGCGGCACGCTCTCTGCCCTCGAGGATAGAGCACCCTCGGTGGATCCTGCAGTCACCGGGTGCTCCCCCGGATGTGCCATCTTCCCTCACCTTGACCTGGGCTGTGGCCGTGACCTGTGGTTCCTGTCTGTCCTAGCTGTTAAAGTTGGTGCGGCGACTTCATACGTAGCACACTTGTGTGTGGCTCTCTTGTGGTTTTACTGGTGCACATGCGGGAGTGATCTCGGCCGGTGTGGTCACCGAGCCAGAGGCACACGAATACGTAATGTCAGTAGATACCTCAAACTCTCCACTGGGGGCTACCCCATTTTACATTCCTTCTGACAATATACAGGAGGTGCTGTTTCCCTGCAGCTCTGCCAACAGAATCTGCTTTTGAACATCCGGAGGGGTAATTTGCATTTTTATTATTATTACCCAACTTTTTGAGGAAAATAAGATGTATGGAGAGCATGTAAGGTAATGCTTGGGCCCTGAAGGGCCAAGAGACTGAGTCAGCCAAGCTGGACGGTAGGGTGGCTGCATCCCAGGTGGATGGCTCGGCCGTTTCAGAAATCCTTGCCCCACTCAGGGCCCCTCTGTGCTTACCCAGCAAAGTCGTTAATCACCCAATCGCCCTCATCAAAGCCACCAGCATCTCACTGGAGGTTTATTCTCATGCAGAGTGAAAGTGTCCACTGCTGGGCGTCATGGGCTCCAGCTCTGAGTCCCGCCCATGTCTCCAGGGTGGACTGGTGCACAGTTACCTTGTGCAGAATTTCTCTTTCTCTGGCCATGCCCGTGACTCGAGGCAGGACAGCAGCTCTGGCTCCTACGGCATTTCTCCAAAAATAAGGCCTTACTCAGCTTTTGCTGCAAAGATGAAACAGGGCTCACTTTCAGGGCATGTCTTATTTCTTCATCTAAAATAATCTACATTTACTCGCTTATCCATGCACAAAAATCTGCGCTTGCTCAGATACAGTCCTCCTGTCATCGTCTTCAGGAGCTTTGTCATCACCCTCTAAACCCAAATTCCGGCCTGAATTTCTTGTGACTCTGTTTCCTGCGGGATCACTGGCCCAGTCTCCCATGTCCAGCAATAGTGCTCTCCTAGCAGCACTGCTTGCCCATGTGGCCTGCCCCATGGCCATTTCGTCCCAGGAGTTCTTCACCCAAGGCCTGGCCTCTTGCAGGCTGGCTTCACAGTTCCACTAAATCAAGCACTAACTGAAGACTTAGGAGACAGGCATGGCAATGAAAACTGTGACAGTGAAGAAGAATGGGCCACACAAAAGTGACCGAAGTTTGCAGGCCCCAAGTTCAGAAAATGTTTCTTTCTTGCTCACAAGTGCAGAAGTACGTCCATGACAACGCAAGCCGTGGTGAAGCACGGAGACTCATCTTGGACACAGCAAGCTCCCTTGTTCTCCTGGGCGCACATTGCTCATGCAGTGTCTGCTCTGAGGGGCTCCTCAGCAATGAGTCTCGAGTTCGTCTGTTTACAGGGGTGTTTGCCTCTTGTCCAAGGGCACCTGCTTAGATATTTACAAATACCGAATGATAATTCATATTATCATTTATTTAGGTATTAATGTCAACAACATCAGTTGTTCGTGTATTTTGTTATAATTCTATAACTCAATATGTCTGTCATGTGTGGGAACAGAGGTATGAACTGTGTCTATCCGGCTGACGAGCTTAACTGGGGCTTATCTTTGGGGTAGAGCTTATATTATGAGCATCCCGAAAAATCACGCTAGGGCTTATTTTCTGGTTAGGTCTTATTTTCGGGGAACTCAGTCTGTACGAGGTGCTGTGCAGAGTGCATTCTTTAACCCGCAGTCGCCCTGTGTGGTGAGAACTGTTACCATTCCACAGATGAAGCCTTTGAGACCTCAAGCCCAGTAGCCTCCTGGGCGCCAGAGATGGGCGTGGAGACCATGTTGGCCTCCCAAGGGGCCCAGGTTTCCTAGGGCTCCCCTGCCTCTGGGACCCCATGCGGCTCCCACGGGGCGTCCCCACCCCTCGCTGTAGGGGTGGAGTCTTCCAGGCGAGGCCGGGAGCACACATCTGCGCGCAGGCCTCTAGCTGGCTTGGACCGCAGGAAATGCGTCACTTCCCGTGCCGGACATGACAGCATCGAGGGGCCACGGTTTTAAAAATGAGGTGACGCGGTCTTGGTGTCAAATCTACAGGACGAGTCCTAGGGCCAGGCCGCTCTCCCCAGCCAAGCCGCCCTCGAAGGCTCTGTTCTTCCTTCGCACGTCGCCTCTGTGTTTTCCTTGTGCTTCCCTGCAGGGTGGTCCGTTTTGGCTTTCGGACCACTGACCCCAGTCGCTCTCTCCCCGCCCCTGCTTGTCCCAGGGCTTGTCGGGAGGGAAGTCACTTCCCCACTGCTCTCCTGGCCCCCTTTGCCCAGGAAGTCGGAAGTTAACCTTCCGTGGAGCCTCTTCCGGCTAGCTCCCCTCACCGCCATCCGGTCTGGGCCTCTTCAGACCGGGAAGGGTTAAGTGCCAGCTCCCCCACTAGTCCCTCCTGCTGTGTTGCTGCTGCGTGCCTTTCTTCTGCTGCCTCCCAGCTGCATTACCATCCCGGCCCCTGCTGCGAGCCGAGCCAGGCTGCGCCTCTGCTGGCGCCATCAATTTTTCAGCACTTTGCTCGTTGCTCATTCCAGTCAGGCCCGCAGCCCACCAGGCCACCTTCCCTTGTCCTGCCAGCTCCTCCTGTCTGGAGCCTGCAGCCAGCCTCGTGCTGATGCCCCCACCAGGATCAGTCAGAGGATTAATCCTGGCCAAGCTGAGTTCCTGAGCAATTCCACCAGCATGCTCAGGTGCTGGCCTGCAGGAAAGTGCCCCGCCTGGGGGCCAGGACTGCCGTGGGCTCCGCCCCCCACCCACTGCCCACTCCCCACAGACGGGCACAGAGCTGCAGGCCCGCAAGGGGCACCGAACTGTGGGCACCAATTGCAGCAGAACGGGACCTGGCAGGAAATCACGTCTCTCCTCCATAAGGACATAAGACCGCACGATGAAGTTATCTTTAGATACCAAAGTGGGTGGTTGTCATAGCAATTTGTGCATTATTAAAAGTTCATCCTGGCAGCTAATCTGATAATGATGCTGGCTCACTATCCAGTCCAGGCGAGTGGGCTTGGGGCGCACGGGGTCCCCGTGCAACTCCGTGCTGTCTTCTCCTCTGCTCTTGGGGACAGAGCCGAGACCTGGCCGGCTGAGCTCCTGGGACTGTGGCCTAGAGGATGCCTGCAGCCCGGAGTGAGTCGGGTCTGTGAGAGCTGCACACACCCAGGCCCAGGCAGGCCCAGACAGCCAGGCCCGGGCCGTGAACTCCTCCTGCTGTAGTCACTGCTGCTTTCCCTCTGCACCTGCTTCCTTTGCTCAGTCAGTCCTGAGGCGGGAGGGGAGGAATGAAGACAGGCAGATGGTAGACAGGGAGGCCGCAGCTAACCATTTTACTTTCAAGAGGACGGCAACTTCCAGGACCCCGCGGAGTTGGGCATCACCCCAGGAGTCTGCATCCCCATTTTCTTGGTGGAGTTTAGGTTCCTTTCTTCCCGGGCCCTCACACCCGAATTCCTCAGGGCACCAAGCCCGCAACCGGCTTAACTGAGAAAGCAAAGAGGACCTGAGCCCAAGGCAGAGAGCAGGCCGACAGAATCCAAGAATGCTAACATTACCCGTCTCAGACAGACAGCAGAGCTGGGTCCACACCTGTTAGACAGCAGCCCCTGCTGGGCTCTCGCCCCTCTGAGAAAGACAGATGTTTGTGGTCCAGGGACCGAGCCGTTTCCCATCCTGCTCTGCTCCTCTGAGTGTGCACTTTTACGTTTCCTGTGTCTCTTACTGACTCATCCTACAAATTCTGCAAGGGAGTTGGGAACCTGCAAACCTATTCCACCATGGGAAGGCTGGGTTCCTGTCGCAGCTTCTGGACCTCTAGGCCCTGCCTGGTGACATGCCGTGGAACCAGCTCCCCCCGGGACAGAGGGTGCCTTTTCCACCCTGGTCATGATTTAATGGCAGCTCGTACGTCCTGGGTCGCTGTGGTTTTGTGAATCCCAGAGTCACAACCCAGGGCCCCGCTGTCTAAGGTTCGGGCGCCGGGTAACCCTCTCCCGCTAGGTCAGAGGTCCCGTCACTTTTAAGTCCTTCTGAGAACTTGTGCCACTGCTTTCTCTTCCCTGCTTGGGTTTTTCTAGGGCAAAGGTCCATTGGGCTCGTGTTCAGATTTCAGGGTGATTTTCATCCTTTTCTTGTCTTTTAAAATTAAGCTGCTTCTACACTGGTGGGAGTGGGTGGAGCAGCTGTTTGGTGGCAGGAAGTTGGGGTATCGCACCCCCTGCACTTGTGCCCTTCCTTACGGGGCAGAGACCGTCTCAGCCTGAGAGAGGAAGGGTGGCAGACACACAGCAGTGTGTGGAACCTGAGCGACAGATTCTGTTCCCAGCTTCTTCCTGTTGATTGGTGTCCTGGGATGGGTGGAGTCATCAACCATTTATAGCTTTACTTTCCTCACCTACCTCTCAGGATGGCTTTGAGGGTTTAATGAGGGTTTCTGGCTTGGGAACAGGGGCTTCAGAGTACCAGATGACCACTGCTGACCACAGTTACAGCCACCCCTCTCCCACGAAGGCCATTCACCCCCTTCGCGGCCTGCCCAGAGCGCACCACTGTTGACAATGCCAGAGCCTCCATCTCCGAAGCCATGCAAGTTACTGTGGTGTCCCGGTTCACAAACTCAATCTGTTCCACGATTCTGGAAAAGATGGCCATGGTTGTGTTCACGCAGGAGAGGTGGCCATGGTTGTGTTTGTCACCCAATGCAGAGTTCACAAACAAAACCAAAATTTTGCAAAATGCTTCTGTTTGCGAACCAAGGCACCACTGTAGTCTTAAAAATGCTGAAAGTCAAATTCAGAGGAGTCTAAATGGCACCAAAACACCAACACAAAGAGGAACAAAGTGATTCTGGGAAATCTTTCCATTGCAAGAACAGCAAATCCTCTAATCCTGCACTCCGGGGCCTCCATCTTTGTTTTTCTAAAGAGCCTGGATTTTGAAGTCAGAAAGAACCTTAAACTTTGTTTAGTTCATCATTTCAAGCATTTTCAGCCTCAGATACCATTCTTCAAAAAGAGTGATTCTCAGAAGGTTTGTCAAACAAAAGCAGAGTGGAATTTGGCGCGGACCCCTGGGGCCTGGCACCTACCTCCTCTTGGCTCAGCCATGGCAGGCCATGCGGGCACAGCTTGGCAAACAACTGATCTGTTGCTTCATTTCCAGTGACAAAGGAAGAGATGCCGCCCACTGACGTGTCATACCGGGGCTTCTTTACATGGGTCCAGGGAACCCAGGCAAGGCACTTGGGAGGAAGAAAAGCCCCGGAGATGGGCTTGGTGCCCCGTCTCGAGAGGGGGAGCTGTGGGAGACCCCAGCCCTCACTCGAGTCTGTGTGCTGAGGGTTCGTCCTGGCCGCCCTTTTCTTCCACCCTGTGCAGCTCCTCCCAGCCCAGCTGCCGGTGCCTGGCAGCTCCCTGGCGCCTTCCCCTCCACGTGGCCCTCTGTTGTCAGGCACAGAGCCTAACTGGAACTCTGGCTTCCTCTGCGTCGAGCAGTGTTGGTCCGTGAGGTCAGGAGTGCCCATGTTTGCTGCATGTATGTTTATGTGCAGCTCTTCCTTTTGAATGGTCCCAACCAACGTGTAGCGACCTTCTCCACCTCCTCCGATCAGTTTTGGCTTGAAGTCTGCTTTGTTTAGAGAGGTTTTCTGCTGCTTCTCAGCTCCTGTTGCATGGCATGTGGTTTTCCATCCTTTGATCTTTAGTCTATGAATTTCTTTTTGGATTAAATGTGTTTCTTGTATACTTCATGTTAGGAAAATGGAAGAGAAGCAGAGGCCCGAGCTCACAGGACAGGTTTATTTCAGAGCAACCTGAGAGGGGCCGTGCGCGGCACTGAGACCAGACCTGCAATTCTCACAGGGCTGTAGGGTCTTTACAGGGTCATGAGCATAAAAAGGGGGTGGAAGGAGAAAGTCACAGTGGGACTTTCAGGGGACAGTTCAGTACAAAGGATTGTGGCTGTCCATCAGGGACGGGCTTGGAAACACAGGGAGTTGCGTGTTGTCTGTCAGGAGCAGGGCAGAAGGATGGGTGGGAATGGGAGGCTGTGGGGCTGCTGCTGGGCCTCGAAGACCGGACCCAGGACCCATCTGCAGCAGGGGTGAAGCACAGCAGGGGAGGGATTTAGAGCGGGCTCTGCTCAGACCAGGATGGTGGCGGCGGATTCCTTCCCCACAGCACTGAGCTGTTTTCTGAGTTACTGCTGAGTCGCTGACTCGGTCCTGTCCCGAATTCATTTCCTGCTGTTGACCAACACCCCTCCTGCTCGCCTGCTCACTCTGCCTGCTGCATCCTTCCCACTGGCCTTTTTGCTACTGTTGGTTTGCTTGGGTTTCCTCGGACATCCCGAGAGTGTCTCAGAGCCCTGGTTTGGTGCCCTTTGTCCCTGAAAGACCTTTTTTCTCTATCACTTTTGAAAGATGGCTTTTCAGGATATATTATTCTGGGTTGGAAGCTGTTTTCATTTAAGGTTTGAAAGACTTCACTCCAAGCTCTCCTGGCCGCTAAGGTTTGTGTTGAGAAGTCTTCCGTCATTCCAGTGGGTTTACCTTTATAAGTGATTTGTTGTTTTTTCTCTAAAATCTTTTAACTAAATATCTCAAGATTAATAAAGCTTAATAGTAATACTGGTAAAGAGGGAAGGGTTGGGAAAGGGGAAAATGAAGGAAAGAAAAATTGAAAAATACAGACAAGGAAGATGAAAAGGAGGGGAGAAAATGAGATAAAAGATTCTATTAAGGAGGAGAGGAAATTAATATAATTAGATAAAAGTAACAGAAAAGAAAAATCAAGAAAAAGAGAAAAAAAATGAAAAGGCAGAGAATAAAATAAAAAAGAGAAAACGAATGAAAAAGAAGAAAGAAGAAAAAGAGAAAACCACCCCTAAATCCCTAAAAATGAAGGGAAGGAGAAGGAGGAGAAGAAACGACCCCCAGCCCTCCGAGCTTGTGAGTGAGGCTTCTCCGGGCGGGCCTGGGGCAGTGAGTCCCGCTGAGGCCTGGGCTCCCGGCTCCGGTGTGACGCAGGCCGCTGGCCGCTGGCCTCTTCCCTGCTGGGCGGGGTTGCTCAGCCGTGTCCGCCTGGGCTGTGGCCACTCAGCCGCTCCCTCTCCGGTCCCATGGTGCGCCCCGAGTCTCCGCCTTTGCCGCCTCGCCTGTGTCGGTGGAGATGTGCAGCCAGGCTTCCTTTCCTGCCTGCTCCTGCTTTCCTTCTGTGTTGTGCTCAGTGTCTCCAGCTCCTCTGTAGTTCCCAGTTTCCCTGCAGCTCCCGCTGATCCCCAGAGAGCTACTTCCGTCCTCTTTCCCAAGCTGTCGTTGTCCAGCTGTCCCGACCCGGGTCCCGGAGATGCTGTTTGCTGCTGGTCTCTGCTCCCTGTCTTCCACCCTCCAAGACTGTCTTCTCCCCAGCTGGCTCTCGGGAAAGTCCTGCTGGGCCACCTTCCCCTGCCGCTGCAGGGCCCAAGACACAGCCACTTGGGCAGCGCAGCGGGGAGAGAGATCAGAGGGAGGGTGGGGGATGCTCAGAGGAGCCCAGAGGGTGACTGCAGCCTGGCTGGGTCCCAGGCGCTCTGCCCACCCACATCCCTGCTGCTGGAAGTCACTGTCCTGCCATCTGTGTCTGTGCAGTCCACATGCACCCGGGACAGCGTGGGTCTCTTCCTGCGCCTGGTTTGTGTCACTCAGCGCGACGCCCTCCAGGCTCTCCTGGTGTCAGTGAGGCGGATTCCCTTCCACACTGTGGCGGGGCAGAGAGCCCCTGTCGCTCGTTCGGTGACCTGCGGACCCTCGCTGTCCAAGGCCCAGATCTCCCTGAGTGTCACTCGTCATGCATCACAGCCCGCCGCTCACACCCTGCTGGTGGGCACAGAGCCCAGGTCCCACTTCCTTCCAGGGAGACAGGAGGACGTGGGTCCCAGTTCCTCATCTGTAGAAAAGGTGGCTGTGACAGCTAAGTAAGGTATTTGCTGAGCCTAGGCTGACCATCACTTGAACAAGCACTCAGCCGCACCAGTGCTTTCTAGGGGCCTGCGTTATTACACAGAGCTAAGTTAGGTAGAAAGATTATAGGCCGTTGGATAGGGCTGGGCCCTCCAGAGTCAGCACAAAGGTAAAACACATCACAGCCATGGGTGGAAACGCATCTGTTGGAGACCAGGCCTCTAGATAAAGATGAAATGACCAGGCCTGCGTACCTCCCTGAAGGACAAGCTCAGTGGCAACACCGGCCTAATGCAGTCCAGAGAGACATCCGCCGCCCAGGGGTGACCAGGCCCTGCGGACCCATCATGCCCTAGAGAAAGTCTGTTCTTCCCACGCACACCTGTTATGTGACTTGCTTCCCCGCTGGATCACGGTTACCTACGCCACCATACTCGTACCCTTATTGGCTAATGACAGCTGTGACCACGTGGTACCCACATGGTCTGTGCTCTATACAACTTCCCTGTAAAGTGGGGTCCTCCGCTACCCATTTGGGTCCCCTCCTCTCCCAGGAGCCGTCTTCTCAATAAGCCTGTCCTATTCTTAACCTGTGTCATTGCTAAAATTCATTCTTTACTTTTAGAGAACACAAACTGGGCAGATCAGACTCTAACGGGTTGGGAGCTGTAATATTGCCCCTGTATCACTGGAGGTCCTGTTTCATCCGGTATCAGCCTGGGTCAGCATGTGGGAGACCCCAGGTCAGCACGAGCATTCTTCACGTGGGGCCAACGCTTGCTGCGGAAGCCGTGCTCAGAGTGTGCAGTGGTGCCCGAGGCCCCTGTGTTCCTGGTCCTCTCCTGGTCGCGTTTCCTCCTGGCTCCCATCTGTGACCACAGCCTGGACATGCATGTGGGGCTGCTCCCTTCCTGACGCCCAGCCCGCGGCTGATGCGCCCTGAGCCCTGTGGCATGGAGCAGACTGAGGACAGCACTGTCACCACCCGCACAGCCAGCAGCCTGCAGCCCCTACCATGCCCCACACACATCCAGCCCGGCCAGTGGCGAAAGTGACATCCCGCCCGAGGCTGGCAGCCAGCCGTGTTCAAGCCCTTGCTTCCTGCTGCTGCTGCCGGGGCAGAAACATGATTCTACTTCCTAAGGGCACAGAAGAGGGGCTGGCTCGGCTTCCTTGTGTTAGGCCTTTTGGGCTTTCATTCCCTGATCCCAGGGTTGTTCTGGTGCATGCTGCAGGGGCAGTTTGGGTCCTGAGCAAGTGAGACCACGAGCAGCCGCCCACTCGAGGGGGCAGAGTGGAAAGGAAGGGAGACAGGGACAGGGCAGTGCGGTGAGGGTTCTGCAGAGCACAGCGACCCTCAGATGCCCTTCCTCGTGTTCTTCCCAGATGCCCGGACCTTGCAGAGCAGCCAGAGGGCCGGGGCCCCAGCTGACGCCAGGTGAGCAGCGGTCTGTGTTTGGTGGGGACAGCTGGGATCTCCTCAGAGGCGTGGTCTTGCAGGTCACATTCACTGCACCGCTTAGATGTAGAAGGTGATGCTTTTGGCTTTGGTTTTGAAACAGAGTCTTGCTTTGTAGCCTAGGCTGGCCTTGAACTCACGATTCTCCTGCCCCAGCCTCCACGTGCTGGAATTGCAGGCGTACCTCAGGGTGCCTGGTGAAGGATGATATGTTTATACTTCAGATCCTTCATTTTTACCATAGTGATTGCCCTGCAGGAAGCTAGGTGGCCACTGCAGCTGACTGTGATAGGGTGCAGCTGTAGCCTGTGAATTCCCTTCTGACCTTGCGCGCTGAACACTGGTGCTGGGGAGGGGCTGTAGGACTGTGGACAGGAACTCTGGAGACCTGGGACAAGAGCTTCTCCCCCAGGGCGGGAGAGAGGAAAGCAGAGGCAGGTGTGGGGAGCTCGGGCACTATGGTCTAGAGAGGGACCCAGCGGTGCCATGGAGGGTGCTGAGCCTGGTTCCTGGGCAGAGGGGCTGCTGTGCAGCTCGGTCAGACAGTGGAGAGGGAGCTTCCACCATGCTGACAAGCACGGCACTGCACCCCATGCTGAGCCCCAGGGCCCACAGGCCTGGGACAAGGGACAGCTCAGCCTCAGCTGGGGAGCCTGTGCCCGGGCTGCCAGATGTGGATGTCTGAGCTGGCACCCAAGGGCGAGTGGCTGCAGGTCATTCGCTCCGCCGCCCTCCTGCTCCCGGAAGCTGGGATGAGTGTGGGCCGGCCTGCTGTTGCGCGCTGATGCACATCTGCGGCAGCTTCCACCCTGGAGGTGTCTGAGTGATGATTTGGATCTGAGCTCCTCCAGCCAGCCCTGGACAGACCCACAAGTGAGCGCATTGGAGGCTTGATTTCTCCTGGGCGTCTTTTGGGTGCTTAGTGGCCAGGAGTCATCTGATACCTGTCCATTGAAAGTCAGTCCACAGTGAGTTTTGAAAGTGCATGAAGACGTGGTTGTTCCGGAGGCGTGGATCACTGCAGGCCCCTGCCTCCTAGTGCTAGGAGGGGCTCACACTGCAGCGCTGCAGTCCCGGCGTGCACAGCAGTCTGCCCCTGAAAGCGCAGGGCGTGTGTGGATTGACTGGGCTCAGGTGGACAACGCGGTGATCGGGGTAGGTGAGCAGGCCTTGCTCTGAGATCCTGTTGCGCCACAACAGTGGCTTGCAATTTTTTTTGCTGTGTTTCATAGTAAGAAATAGCTTTCCTCATCTGCTGCTGACGTGGGTGCACACACGCACACACATGCACAAGTCTAGCCTGAAGTTCCGTTTTCTGTCTGGTCTGAGGTCCGGGGAAGCAGAGCCTGAGACAAGGACTCAGATGTGGCAGAGGAGGCAGTGAGAGATGTCAGAGGAGTCAGACAGAGCCATCCAGGCACATTCAACCGCACGGGACGCTGAGAGCCGTTTGGGGGATGCCTGGTGTCCGCACCCTCCCATGTGAATGCGGTGTGAGCCATGTGCGTCCAGCAACGCATGGCCTCTGCATGGGCAGCCTCCGGGGGGCCCTGTCACCCTACTTGCTGGTCCGAGGTGCTGTCCCTGCCCTACCTGAGCCGTCCTCGGCCTGGACCCTGCAGAGCAAAGAGGAGCTGTCTTGGGCATACACAGAATTACAGTAGAGTTACAGTATGTAAACGACAAGGCTTCCTTTTTAAAAGTAATTTTTACCATAACATTAAAAATAGCGCAAGGGCTCCCGGGCTGTGTGTCAGACAGAGACCGTGGACTGTGGGCGTTCATGACCCAGGAAAAATGACTCACTTTGTAATTTTTTAAGTCGCTGACTGCTGGGGTGATTAATGCAGCAGGAGTTTTGCATCTCCATCATCAGGCTTGGCTGTTCCCGCTGCGACCTCTTTCTCCTGGTCGCCCGGGCTGGGCTGCAGCTGCAGGCCGGGAAGACCCTCAACACGGCCCTACAGGGTGTGAGTGGACAGGGCTCTCCTGTGCATGGCCACCCTCGGCCTGCCGGCCACGTGACCAACACCTGGAAGAGAACGGGTGACGTCCTCCCCACCTCCCATGGGCTGCAGCCTCCCAATGACACAAGTGACCAGGAGTCAGATGCTGCTCAATTCCTGGCCACAGACGCTGTGAGGTATGAGGTTTACCACGGTGTCGCGCCCTCTGGGTGCTGTGGCAGGGGTGAATCGTTACACAGTGCCTGAAGACTGAAGCAGCTCAGGCGAGAGGCTCAGCGCTCTTCTGCTCAAGGAGGGAGCTGGGTGCTAACTCCAACCCTCACTGTCCACAGCGAGGGCTGCTCCAGGGCGCTCATCCCCCGCCCTCCTCTGTGTGCCAAGGGGTCTCCCGTGGCCAGAGAAAGGCAGCGGCAGAGATGCAGGCGCTGGCAGGTGGGCGTCAGGCCCATGTGTCCCGACAGGCGGGCGTGAGGGATGCAGTGGGACGCAGAGGCCCTGCAAAGAGGCCTCCTGGAGCACCCACCACTCGGGCCTGGGCTCTGGAGGAAGGGAGAGGCAGGGCCCAGCCTCTGCCACCCCTGCTGCCCGTGGTGCTCCTTACTGCGTCAGCAGCGACGCTGTGAGTCCCCCTGTGACACAGGCTCAAGGGGCTCACAGCTCCCTGTGAGGATTCCTGAGGGTGACACCCTCCCCAACTCCCTCCCCTCGGTGGGCAGCCTGGCCGGGGCACAGGAAGGACAGGCTGGGTCGAGGGCTGTCTGGGGCAGTGGTGGCCCAGATCCCCCAGCAGGCGCTGGAGCACACGGACACTCCCAGACTCTTCCCGCACGCCTGGAGCCACTCTCGTGCTTGTGATGGGAGCGGGGTGCACTACGGCCTTCCTGGGGAGAACACCACTGGGGCCCCGTGTCTGGTCTGGGGACTAGGAGAGGCCTTGCCCTGTGCTCGGCACACCCCGACATCCAAGGACGTGCATCCCCCTCTTCCCCACTGCTGAGGCAGAGCTGACCCGGGTGGAGGCCCAAGGACAGGGTTTGCAGGAGCCTGGGCCCGGGAGCGGGAGGCAGGCACTCACGGCTGGTCCCACGCTCTGGTCTGGAGCAGGCGCTGAGGAATCCACACAAAGGATGGAGCAGGGAGCGACGCCAGGGTCTTCCACAGACTTTGAGTGGCAGGGACACAGAGGTCCTGCGTGTCCCCAGGTTCCAGGCGTGGCCATGGCCTTTGCAGGGCCCAGGCGCCTGCCCAGCGAGCACCCTGCCCAGAGCAGCCGCACCCACTGGCCTTTGTGCAGCGTGGCTGACTCCGGGCTCTCCACGGCCCCTTCCTCCTTCCTCTCTTCTTCCAGCCATTTCCTTCCATATCCACTACACAGGTCAGAAAGACGTAAAAAGAAGGACCCAGTCATCCCCAGACTGACTCAGGGACGGGAGGTGGGGAGAGAAGCCGCTCGATAAAATGAAAGAGAATTTAAAAATTCCCGAGGCGAAGCCCAGCATGGGGTCCGATCTCAAAGCCGGCGCTGCTGGGCTGCGTGGCTGGATGAAGGAGGCTGGGGCGGCCGCTCAGGCTCCTTCCTCCCACCTCCTCCTCCTTCCTCTCCCCCATGTGATGGGGTTCAGCAGCCTGGGGGTGGGGAGGGAAGGCACAGGCAGCCACACAGCCAGGTGCCACAGCTGTGTCCAAGCCCCTGTCCACAGAGAGGAGCGGATCCTGACTGAGGGCCAGGAAGGGCGTCCACAGTGACAGGGGGTTGGACGTTCCAAATCCCACCTGGCTTTTTCTGAACTGACTTGGAAAACACTGAAAGTAAAAGCCATTCCGTCCGCAGAGTGGAGCCACGAGGCCCTGAACTCAGGGGGTCCCAGACCGTGACCTTCCTGGAGTGCATCTGCGTGCATTATCACAGGCCACCACTTGTCTCACTGTGTCCTCGAGGCCACGGCATCACGGGACACTGCCTGAGCCCAGGGGGAACCAGCGTTGCTCACTCACCGTCCACGTGGGACTGTGGGATGGGACCTCAGCCGCCCAGCTGTAAAATGACTGCTCAGACGTTTCAGAGGAGGGTTTTCTCCTCCAGTTCAGCCACATCTGTTCTTTTCACAATTCTCATCCCAAATATGTCCGGAGTGAGAACAGCATCGTCAGTGTAAGGATAGAGGCTCCTGGCCTTCTGAAACCCCAGCTGGACGTACATGCTTGGGTGTGTTGGCTTTGGAGGGGCTTGTCGCTCATACAACGCATTGTGGGCGTGTGAACCAGACACGAGCATGCTGTGTGTGCATGGACAGAGAAGGCAACATGCCCATGTCCACGTGTATGGCTGTGTGTGTGTGTGTGTGTGTGAATGCCTGTGATTCCTTTTCTGCTTGTTCCCAAGGAGTTTTGAGGTGGCTTCCTAAAAAAGAACAGAACAAGGAAAATAAACCCCAAAAAACAGAACAAGAGATGAATCATTTAATAATACTACAGGATAAAAATTAAGGGAAGGATGCAGAAATAGATACTTTATGGTTTCTCAGTTGAACAGGTCAACATATGCAAGAAATTTGGCTGTTACTTAAACACTAAAACTAGAAAGGGGATTTGCTTCATTGCATTGCTTCCTGGGTGTTGTTTGCCATCACTAACTGCTTTTTCTTGCAGTGAGTCAAAGGAACGGTAGCTGATCCAGGGAGAGGAGAAAGCTCTGCGAGTTTTAGGTCTGGCAGCCGGTAGCATGTGGGCTCGCCGCTGCTTTGCCTTTGTCTTCTTGTTTATTCAGCAATGATAATAGGATGAGTCCTTACTCGTGAGCCACATTCCACACTGTTGGTGTAACAGTGATCTGCACGGCACGGACAGTGTTCTCTCCACAAACTGAAGCCCCAGAGAGGCTGAGGGACTTGTCCAGGGTTTGAACATGCAATTCACTTGCCAGTCCTTTTATTGATGGCACTGGAGCTGTTTGCACTTGGAGGCTTTTTATAAAGTTTCTATGAACATTTCTGTACAGTCTTTCTGTGCACGTATGTTTTCCTTCTCTTGAGTAAATACCCAGTGGTGGTCTCAGAATAGGTGCGTGCTTATTAGAAACTCCAAACCCAGCTATACAATCATCAGTGGACTAATCCAGCACCACACACACGTGATCCGGTCACCTCCCAACAGCCCCACCTGTGAGCCTTGTGGGACAGCCACAGCCACGATGCCATCAGTCTTTGTTTATAACTATTGTTGTAGGTGTGGAAGTGTCTTGTTGTGGTTTTAATTTGCATTTCCTTGGTAACCAATGATTTTGAGCACCTTCATATGTGACCTGGGCATTGGAATTTCTTCCTCAGCACCAACGGAATGAACTACTGCTACTCAGAATAACATAAATTGATTTCAAACACATTGTGTTCATGGAAAGAAGCCAGGGAGCTGGGTTAGCCCAGCTGCTCAGGAGGCTGATGCAGGAGAATAGCACGTTCAAGGCCATCAGGGGAATTTAGCAAGGCCCTGTCTCAAAAAATAAAAAGGTCTGGGAATGTAGCTCACTGGTGGAGCATCCCTGGGTCCCATCTGCAATACAACAATAAGAAAAACAACAACAGCTGGATGCAAAAGTGATCACTCTGTATGATTTCATTTTTATGAAATGAAACCACAGACAAGCCCCACATGCAGTGATCAAAGCCAGATGATGCAGATGGGGTGAGGAGGGGCGCTGAGGGGAGGGGTGTGAGCAAAGTCTCTGGGTGAGGGGTGATGTTTGCCTCTACCTGGGTGAGATTTCACAAGGCTGCTGTTCTTGGCCAAGGCCAGCGGCGGGCAGCCCTGACTCAGCAGCCGAAGAGGGCAGGAGAGCAAACCTGCGCCACAGGGCCCCTCCCAGCTCCTCTGGGGCGACAGCTTTTCTTCTCCGGCAGCTCAGCCCTGCACTTGTTCGGGGGCTCACGGTGGGTGTGGCCCAGCGCTGCCGGGCAGAGAGGAGAACCGGAAGTCCATGTCGCGGGTGGGGCCGCGTGGCCCGAGCAGCTGCCCCGTCTGCGTCACCCTTGGACGTGTGGGAAGGCGTGACACGGCGGCCGACACCAGCCTGCCCGCAAAGGGTGGCAGGGCAGCTTCTCCTCACTCTGGAGGGAGACAGCGCTTCCCAAAGCAGGGGCCTGTGTGGGGAATATTGCCATGCCTGTTCTTCTGGCCGCCCTGGCCGCCCTTTTTTTTCCATCCCCCCACCCCCCCACCCACCACTTCCTGCTCTCTGGGCCGATGCAGCCCCTGTGCCGGACGCTGTGCTGCCCTGGGATGCGGACACAGTTTTCTCTCTCTGCTGGCCCTCTGCCTCCTGTGTCTGGCGAGGCTGCACAGAGTCACGACTTCACCCGTGAGCTCCGCCTGCAAGCTGGAGAGAGCTGCATGAGGTGAGCGCCCCTCGGCACCCCTCTGCCTGTGCCCAGGAAGGCGCCGGGCACGTGCGTCACCACACTGCTGCTCGCCCTGGTCTTTGGCCACTGGAGAACTCTGGGGGGCCTGGTGTGAAGCGCAGCCTCTTCCCGTGTAGACTCAGGATAACCTTGCATTACAAAACAGTAAAAGCAAGGAGAGCCGCACCACAGTACTCAGGTGGTGACCGGCTCCGTCTGCACAGCACTTGATCTACTTCCAAACTCTTCTCACTGATGGTTCCACATGCAGCCCCGGGTGGTAAGGTAGGGGCAGGTTTATTGGTGCCCACAGGGGCTGCCACCTCCACGGTCAGGCTTCTAACTCCTGACCTTCACAGGGCCCCAGCAGAGTGAAAAGTCAGCTGGTCACTGTGGAGTCAGCCATGCGATCCCCGGGTTCTCTGGGGATGAGGAAATGCCCATCAACCCTTAGCATGGCAACTCGCTGCACATGGCTGGAGTAGACAGGCAGGGGCTGGGGGTCCACTCCTGTGGGGTGCAGAGTCTGGAGGGGAGGGCAGAAAGCCCAGAGACCTGGTGGCTTGGTTGGTACTTGCACAGAGACCAGCAGAGTGCTTGGTGCTCAGTGGCACGCAAACATCTGTTCCCAGAACCGAGGCTCTGGGGGACCCTGTGCGCTCGGGTGGTGCTCTCTGTGAGGAGCTCTTGTGGGTGTTCAGGGAGGCCCTGCGCCCTCCCCTCTGCACTGCTGCTGCTGCTTCCTCGCCCCAGTGAAGCTGCGAATTGTCTTCTAGGAAGCCCGTGGTTTCACACAGCACAAGGTTGAAACCAGTGGCTTGAATGATCTCCAAGGAATGTTTAGTCCGGGTTTGCAAGGGAATAGATTTAATACAGGACGTATCATTTATAGGATTATTTTATAATACTCACCCAAAAAATCAAATGCAGAGGCATGCAAGTGACCTGTCCACATGCTAGAGACCCAAAGAATCCAGCCGAGGGCCTGGATCCCATGGCAGTGTCCCATACGAGTCCAGCTGAAGGCCTGGTGCCCACAGCAGTGTCTCATGCGAGTCCATGTGGAAGATCTGCCCCAGGAAGGCCCAGAGGCCAGTGGTGGAAGCTGGGAAGCCTGCGCCAGTGGGGTGAAGGGTCTGCCACCAGGCTGAGGGGTCTGCACTGAGCCAGGAAGCGCTGCTCAAGGGGAAGACCAGAGCTCGCCTGGAAAGAACAGTGGCCATCCCGGTGATGGGGAGGAAACGCGCTCCTCCGATGAAGAGGACAGCTGAGTTTGTATCAGGAAAAGCAGCCACGGCAAGCTTCTCTGGGAAAAACAACAGGATACAGTCTTCCCCTCCACTTCTCCTTTTATGCTGTCAGCAACAAGGGTCTTCCATGCCCAGCCATGCTGACTCAGTTCAGCTGGGCGGCCCAGGGTGACCATTAGTCAATCAGCACATACAGTTCTGAGGGTCAGTGATTGCCATTACGAGCAAACTTCTCTGTGAAGTTACCTGTTGCTGTGTTGACCCTGGCTTGGTGTGGTGCTGACGGCTCAGCTGTGGAACACCGTGTCTGGGTGTCAGGACGAAGGAGGAGGAGGAGCAGCTCCATCTGTCCCTTCCTAATGGAAGGCTGCCCTTGGCCAGCAGTTTCCCCAACAGCGATTCCAAGAGGGCTGAGGCATAGATGTGACTCAGGTTTTCTCCCCACAAAGGCCTTTGAACAGAATTATAGTAGATGGCAAACTAGGACAATTTTTTCCCATTAAGTATCGTGGTACATTTTAGGTATAAACTACAGTTACATTCATCATTGGGATCTTGTACCATTACATGAGTATCTTGGTTCTTATGTTTTTCCCTTCCCCTGCCCTCCCTTCACCCCCTCCACCCTTCCCTATT